AGGACAGGACAGGACAGGACAGGACAGGACAGGACTGATGTTTCAGTTGTGAGACCTCACAGTCCGTGATATTTATTGTGCAATCAAGCAATTGAGCACAGGTGTACCTTGTCAACGTATTTAGTGTGATCTCTCAAGATAGTTCAATACCTCCCCCCAATTAAGGTTGTTAAAACAAAGGGGGTGAATACTTATCAATTAAGTCATTTTTATTTTTAATATAATTCTGAAGACATCAAAATACTCTATTTCGTTGTAACATTATAGAGAATTACTTCTACAGGAGGGGGGAAGCCATCCCCTGTAAATATGCTTTAATTTGACTTTGCAACACAAAATTAATTTAAGCACCTGACTGCTCCAGCTGCGGTGTTCAAGGGAACGTTTCCGCAGGTCTCTCCTCCCGGCGGCTGTCAGGGTGTATGACGCTGCCCTAGGCGAGGACTGTCAGCCCTTCATCTGCTCGTCTATGGACAGCATGGTGCTCCATTGTACTTGTTGTGCACTCAATCTGCATATACCTATGCACATTTTGCACATATTTTATTGTTTTTCCAGCGACTATGATCGGCATTTCTTGCACACGCCCGTGTATTTATTGATTTTATATTTATTTTGTATAACTTTGTCTATTCTGATGTCTGTTTTTGCTCGTCTTGGGCTGGACTGCTGTAACAAATCAATTTCCCTACGGGATTAATAAAGTCTTATCTGTCTATCTAACACAGCAGAACGAGAAATAACCAACCGGGGGCGAATACTGTCTGAAGGCACTGGAGCTGACTCTTGGTTTGTCTGAAATCCCCACGGCACGACAGCGATCGCTGGGGTTTAGAGGTTTGTTTTGGAGCTTTTTCTGAAAGTTGAATGCTCTCCCCCTCTGAACGGTGTGCTCAAAGCGCACAAGCGAGGCTCTTGGACTTCATTCCGGACCGCTCGGAACCGCTGGGCTCGCACTGCTGAAATCAACCCGCAGCGGCGCTTTCCCGAACCGACCTGTCCGGTCAGGCCTGTTCGGTTCTGCCAAGTCGCCCCAGGACACCCGTGATGGGGGTTTCGCGTGGGTGAGCTGCCCCGGCCGTGTCTTTGTAACACCCGCCTGAGCGCCCGTCCCAGCCCAGCCCAGCCCAGCCCAGCCCAGCGCGACAGACCGGGCTCGCCCGGACACAGAGCGAATAACTCACGCACAGAAATGCAGAAGTGTTTAAACTCACCACGCTTTTGCTGTAATCGTCCGGAGCCGGAGCCGGGGCCGCCCGGGACGCAGAGAGGCAGAGGTACACGACCAGGGTGCCGAACACGACCCGGTACCGCATCGCGCCCGCAAGGTCCTGCGAGAGACAGACTCGGGAGGCTGACTGTTTATGGGCTGTTTACAGCTTTTCTCACAGCAGTACAATCCTGCCTCCCCGTCCGCCTGCCTTTCATTCTTCATGTAGAAATTTCATCTCCTGGGGGCCGTCCTCTCCTCTCTCTCTCTCCCTCTCTTCTCTCTCTCTTCTCTCCTCTTTCTCTCTCTCTCCTCTCCTCTCTCCCTCTCTTTCCCTCTCTTCTCTCCTCTCTCTGTCTCCCGGGGAGCAGGCAGACCGATCGATAACAGCGGAACAGAGAGCGTTTCACTGAGCCCGTCTCTCCCCCGCCCCTCCCCCCCGAGAGACGCCCCAGCGGGACCTCCAGGGATTGACCGGGGGCGACAGCTACTGTA